GACCGATGACTCGTTAGGTTTCGTTTGGTTCCCATGCAAATAAGAAAGCGATGTATCCTCTGCTGTTGTCTTCCATCCCTAAAACTCCAATGTCACGTTGTTTTAAAATTTTTACATTTGGCTATAATTCTAGTACCTTGTAGTAACTTGTGGTTGCGTTTATCCATAATTTCAGTGCCTATAACCCTTTTACGTTTAAATACAGTTATAATACTCGTAACTTTCATGCACCCAATTGTAGTTGCAGAGCCTATACAAGTAATGTCATGTCAATGTATTCTAATGTATTCTAATGTAAGTATTCTAATGTCACAAAAGTAAACTCGATTCCTCTGATATGCTTCAGTTGTTAGTACCTATAACATTTCTACGTTTAACTAGAATTCTAGTATCTGTAATTCTTCAAATCGTATAAATAAAATTCTAATCATCCAGAGATCAACTCACCTCCTGTGTTACATTTTTATCCCATCGACGATATAGGTCCATACAAACTCCTCGTATAACCTCTTCACGAGTTATTTATGACGTTATCAATGGACCAATCAGCGTGCGTCAACAAACTTAGGGAAAATCCCTAGACTTTGCCCGTGTTATTCTCATCATCGATACAAGAGCAGCATCGAACACCTTTAATTGATCCTGTTGGACTTGGTGTGTATTATAACCTTAATTAACGACCCAGTAAAGGAACGAGCCATGGAAAACAGTCCCGTTTTTACCCTAGGTTCGACGTAACCTCGTTTTGCCATTCGTCTTTGCGCGCACGGTCGGACAACGACACCGACGAAGAAGAGGGGTCGTAAGTACGATCCCCGGTGCCGATGTCCTGACACGAGCCACAGCCTCTAGTCGGCGAACCGTGCGCTGATTTTGCAGTCGCAGCTGCAGGAATAAACGGGGACACGAGCTCTTCGCTCCCCTGTTACACTCTTGGAGTCAAAACATTCGCGATGCGCATAGCTGCTTCGCTTTCTGCACCTTTCTTTCCTTCTTTCTTTTCTCGTTATTATGTACAGGCGTGGAACAGTCGTTTTCTTTCACTCTAACTACAAAGAGGAGAACTTTTTTGAGAAGTTGCAGAGAGTGATTTTTAACGACGTAGAAGGAATGTCTAATGAGTGATTGCGTATCGTTTTGAAACTCCCTGTACGCGAGTATGAGCTACGTTATATGTTTGGTGAAATATTACGCAGATTGGGAAAACTGATGGATGGCAATCGTATTTCAAAAAATTTCATTTTCGGCGGCAGGTGTGCCGATTCCAACCAGCCAATATCGCAATAAAAGTTAGATAGTCCGGTAAGAGCTATCCAAACATCGTTTTAATAACAGCAGCATGCTGAAAATTAAAGCTCCCAAAATACAAAACAATCACCGATAAGGAAATATGTAGGAGAGCTTAACAGTTCGGATGTCCAGATGTATTCCTTGAAAGGAGGAGATAAGATACGTCTATGCATCTTCCGTATGACAGCCACCTGGAATTCGTTGCACTGCGCTATTTTTACCGGAGGCTATTTATTTTCTCAAGAACTTAGGGCCCGCGACGTAAGTTTATCTACTGTGTAGACACGGCCAAAGATAATTCCTTTTCGAATATAACCAATAACGATGTTCCTAGAATAATTTCTGTCGTCTAGGAAAGCATTCTGTGGAATATGTACAAGAAAGAGAAAAAGAAGTTGAAAAAGAAATTTTGAGAAAGCAAAAATTTTTAACGATTCTGACAGTAAAAGATGTATACAAAAGATTACATAAATTGGAATTAAAATATTGTAATAAACACTATTGCCTTATTGATAGAGCTTTCAAACTGATTTTCATGATATATAGTATAATCTTCACTTTTACAATTTAAATATTTATTGTAATCTAAATATCGAATGCAAAGAATTCAATGATACGCGTATATAGATTTTTGTGACTGACTGTATATATCCTCTATTTACGGAGGAGCTACATGTAACTATATGTAACTACATGTAAAGAGCCAATAACATGGCATAACAACAAGCATGGCATCAGCATCTTAATTAGATGTCTTCCAATATAATTCATACATCCTATCATAAAACTACAGTACCTAAAAAAAAGGAAGAAAGGGAAATAGCATAATTCAAGTAATAAAGGAGAAGAAACTTATTTCTTCGTTCTGATGCGTCACAAAACGACGTGACTTTTATCTTAGCTAATTTTCGCAAAGATCAACATTTACGGAGCAATCCAATTACGTAAATTTCCCGGTGCATACAGTGGTGCTCGCACAATAATCTTTTCCCCTCTTTATGTTCATTCCCCGAGGTGGCGCATGCATCTTTGAAACGCTCGGTAACACTGCAACCGAAATCTCGACGCGTCTTCCCTCTCCTGGCAGAAAGATAAAGTAAATTGCAAGGATCCGACGCGACACTCCAATTTAGATGGAATTCTCGAAACGTTGTAAACTCGGCCCTTTCGTTAAGGTGCATATACCAGGTACACGTGTGTACATATGCAGCGGGGGCCATACGACCCAAGTGTTCTCGTCGGCGGTTTCATGGAAATGGATCAAGCGTTTCGATGAATTTTCACGAGCCGCCAAGGGTTAGTGGATTAACGCTCTCCCTGCGTTCGCAGTTGCGCAGAGGACGTGTCTGACACGAAACTGGGTTGCACTACTTCGTTCGGGACTGGCTGCAACCGCACGACCAGCTAAGGTGCTGTGTGCATAATGCATCGGTGCACAGGTCGAATCGAAACCCGTCTAACGAGCAAAGTTTCCCTTGTTAAAAAATTATAAAACACTTCCGGTCTTTTGTATAATGAATACATTACTTTTTTCTTTTGCTAAGTGAGGTTTCACGAAGCTGGCATTAATGTCGACGTCGGTAGAATATAGTTAACGTGAACGGTAATCTGGCCCCTTTTAGATTTTTCGATTATAGACTAATATTAACTTAGAACGCAATTTCACTTTATAACGAAGATAAATATTAATAAACCACAGGAAGTAAATTTAATATAAACTTGTATGTTAATGTAGAATTTTACTACCTTTTTGGTTTAGTAGTTAGTTTTTTACCTTCTTGTTTGGTAATTAGATTTTTTAATCTTTATTAAAAAAAAAAAAAAAAAAAAA